AATGTGATGATGTAATAGTTAATGGTAGGCAGCGCGGTGTGGGCGGCCATACCACAGTTCAGGCAGTGACGAATGAAACAACTTAAGTATCTAGTCGGCCGCAGGAGCCACTCCAGACACCGAGCTCACAGCAGGATCAGACAGGCTCCCGCCAGCCCTAGCAAGGCAGGTGCTCCGGCAGAGGACACGGATAAACGTCTTACTCAAAATGTGCTTGACTGTCAGCCCTGACCCCCAGGCACTCGGGGACCAGGGGAAACCAGCCCGGGCGCAGAGGACCGGCCAGGGCGACGAGGGGAATCATGCTGATGACTCTGAGAAAATGTGCAAGAAAAAACGGAAGTAGCAACAGTTAACATGGCCTATGACAGGGCCCAGGACCTCCCCTCTTCAAATGGGCGTCACCTCCACACCCCACCAAAGCCCCCCATCCCTCCACCACAGTCCATGGGGCCCTGCTGTCCTTTGCTCTCTGGCAGCCTCAGTCCCACACCTAGATTCTAGGGCCTGTTTTGGTTTGATTTGTCTGTTCCTCACTTTGCTTCTTTAGCGTCCACGAGGGGTGAAGCACCCATACTGGTCCTCCTCCTTCTGCCTGTCCCACTGAGCAAGAAACCTCAGTTCCATCCAGTGGTTGCAATGGCAGAAGTTCACCGTCTTTTGGGGACCATTTGCCTCCCGCCCAGGGTGGCCGAGGCCCCTTCACCGCCCCCACAGGGTCTCTGGGTCTCCGGCGTGGGCCTGGGGTGTGCTCTGCAGCACCCTGACGACGCGGATGATAGCGCTTCTCCTGGCCTGCCGGCATGTGTGTCTTCTTGGAAAGGAGCCTTCGAGCGGTCCCTGCCAGGTTTCCACTGGGCCATGTTGTTGAGCCATTGGCAGAGCCTGGGTACCACCCCTGACTGTGACCTTCCCAGTGGCAGATTTCCCAGTTTAAACTGGAGGGCAGGTTTGGAAAAGGCGAAGCTGTCATTTCAAAACCACGACACTCACTCCCTCTGTCACATGCGCACAAACTATTAGCGCTTGATCCCCAGAAAAAAGAATGCGCAGAAAATGACCCCTGCAGAGCGGTATGGCCAGCGGTCGTGGGATGGCCCCGTGTCACCCGAGCAGCTGGAGAGAGTGACCAGCGCAAGAGATTTTCTCTCTGCCAACTTCTCTTGCCCAAAAGGGAGCATCACGTTCAATGAAAGGCCACAAGGGCTTTGAGACCTGAGGAGCATGTGACACCAATCAAAGCACTGGCACTCCTGTGAGGTGAAGGTCTGAGGCCTCCCTGCATGCCCCCTCTTGCAGGCTGGTGCTCTGGAGCCAGAGAGGAACCAACCTTACAGCTGCATCTTTCCTGCCTTGGAGGACACTTGCAAAGGTTTGGAGAATAATAAAATGCTTTCTGTTGTGAACGCTTGTGTTATGTGTCTCCTAGGGATTTCCCAAAACAAGACGAAGACCACTGAGAAGAACACCGCTTTCGAAATGCAGCCAAGGCTTCTCGGCAAGTCTTTGTTTACGAAATTCGCAATTTCAGGCCCCCACAGTGAGTGCCACATATTGACAACCGGAAGAGTTACCGAAAATCTATACACCTGGAGCACTTCCCCTTGCCAGGGTTCCGCGCAGTTTTAAAAACATTTTTTTGCCGATATCCCCCCGAGGGAAAGTAATAAACAGCCTCGTCGCCCAGGCTTCTATTTCTGCCACGCTAATCTTGGCATTCGGAATCGTCACGGTCATTCTTTTACATACGGGAGATGCCCCGCAACCTTTGGGGGCCTTTCAGGATGGCGCCCTCCGAGCTCAGGGGTACCAGCTGCACGTCCGCGCTCCGGCACACAGTGAGTTTCACATGCGTGTGAAATACGTCTCCTCTCTACAGTAACCCGAGCGTCTATTTAACAGAAGAGCCTCAGCCTCGCAGCAGCCGCAGTGAAGGAGAGCAGAGAAGCAGGAGGCGCCAGCACAGAGGCCAAGCGCTCAGAGCTCGGCTCTGCTTTCCTCCAAGCCCGTGTGACAGGGCTGACGGGGCCTCCTGGCCCCAAGGATTCATCCCCGTCACGTGCTCCCATCCCCTGCCACCTGCTGCCCCGGACAAGCCAGACCCGAAATGCCAGGCTCGGGCACCGGGAGGCAAGAGTCACAGGGGGCGACCATGGGCGGGGTGAGGTTTCTCATCTCAGGCCCGCCTCTCTGCGGGCGTCTCCACGGAGCCCAGCACACTCAGCCCCAGCGCACGACGGGCTCTGCCCGTCCGGACCGGCGACGGCCCAGTGGCCGTCAGGTGATCTGCCTGCTCTCCTGGACGAGCACAACACGCCCGCCAAGATGATGGCGACTGTTCCCCAAATTCCATCCCCGCTGATCTCAGCAGGGTGGGGCATGACGCGGGGAAATGGACTCAGGCTTGGGGGGCTATTACGACGATGGCCCCTCGTTTATCAGACCAGCTCCCAAAACAGATGGACTCAGAGTCTGAGGCGGACTCAGAACAGACGCCTGGTGGGCAGCTCCAAGGTCACAGCGACACAGCCAAGGTCACAGCGGTCAGGAGGGCGGCCACGGCAGGTCGCACACACCGCCCGTACGCGTCAGCCTTGTGACAGGACAGCCTCGTGCCCTACACAGCGCCAGTGCTCCGGGCAGGACCGGCAGGCGTGCCTGTGCGCTCTCGGAGCCCAGACCTCTCGCGGAGAAAGAGCCCAAGGTCCCGTTACTACTGCACGCTCGGACGGGAGCCTCGTCTTGCCTCGAGTTACTGCTACAAGGATCCACTCAGGAGGACATTCTGGTTCCTCGGAAGGCCCGTCTACGTCAGAGGAAGTACTTCAGCTTGGCACAACTGGGATCCCCTCTTTGGCCTGCACTCAGAATGAAGCATTAGTGATAAGCCCTCTGTGCTGACGCGCATTGCCCACTGCCACAGAGCTGCCCGCGGCACAGGGAGGCGTCAGATCTTCCATGGCCCACAGACGCTCACGGAGACACCAGTAACTCCTGCCCCCACAGGCTGAGCGGACAGGGTTGGCGGCGCTGACAGTCCGGCAGGACCAGCATCTGCAGGGGAGCGGGTCCAGGCCCAATGCGGCACCGGGTGCCCGGACAGCGGGTCAGCCGGGCCTCATGCTCCCAGCAGGGGAGTGAGGGCTGTGGGGAGTCCCCTGGTCACTTCCATGTCTCTTCCTTTGTGTCTTGTGTCTCACAGTGGACCGCTCTCCACTGGCCGCCTGTGGTTGTGCGGAGCTCTGGCTAAGCCACGCGGGCGCCCTTAAGCCAGGGGTGCCCCGGCTAGGATGGCCACCTCTGCAGGCAGTGAGACCCGCTCAGCCCAAGGCCTCGAGGGCAGCAGCTTCCGCAGTTCCATCTTGCCCATCGCTTCCATCCACGTGCTCCTGCCCTCCTGCGTGCCTGTGCTGCAACAAGGATGTCAGAGCGCGTTTGGGGAGGAGGGGGAGCAGGTGCACACAGGACTCAGGTCTCAGAATCCCAGCCCAGCCCGCATTCCACTGACAGGCAGGCAGACAGACAGACACAGAGTGGGGCTGTCTGGCCAGCTCTGTCCCCTGCTCGATGCTGACCACCCCTCCTGAGCCACTCCTGAGCCTCGGGTGTAGTCTTGGGGCCCGTGGGTCCTCGGGCCCTGGGACTCCCTGCTGTGGGGCCACCCCACCTTGGAGGCAGGCACAGAGCCACCTGCCTTACCACCCAACAGCCACACATGCTTTGCCCTCACACCACAGCTTTCAGGGGACCCATGTTCCCCCTCTTTTGCTGCTTCACCCAGCAGAGGCCATTTCCAGAGGCCACAGGCCTTGCTTCTCGTGTGTCCTTCCTGCCCAGCAGTCTCAGGACTCAGCAGGTGGTCCATCAGTCTCCTAAGTAAGCAGGTGCGGCCATTAGACAGGAAGGGGAGTCCTCCCCCAAGGGTGTCCCTCCACGGAGCACCTGGCCTACTCCCACCAGACATCCACAAGACGAGGCAAACAGGCATGAAAACGGCCCCTCTCCTGTCTCTTGCACCAAGCCGGGAGCCCTGGTGAGAGAGAGGGTGGCTAGTGCCCATCTGGACAGCAACAGGGGCCCGCCCCGCTGGGGGGTTGGGGTGTCAGCGCTGCTGGCCGTGCCCAGAGCTGGCCTGGGCTCTGCAGAGACTGAGCTGCTCTTCACGTGCCTTTGCGCAGAGGTCACATCTCCAAGGGGACTTCGGTCCAGCCGCTGCTTTCTCTTGAAAGCCTCCTGCCGTTCCTTGAGGGCGCACAAGGAGCCCTTCCTCCAGGAGTGCAGCCTAATTAGGATGTTTTCAAATGCCAGGGACAAGCCGCATTCTGCTTCCTAACACCTCCCGGACATCTCACGATTGCATTAATTATACGGACTGGGTGGTGGAGTAACAGGTCCATTAATCTGACTCTTCCTGGGAGTGAACCAAGTAATTAGGATTAAGGCCATTGTCGGACGGAGGAGCTCTCCCTGCCCGCATCTCATCTCTGTCTGGGCCCGGCTGGGTCCCCCACGGGTCTGCAGGAGACAAAGAGGAGGGTCCCGGTCAGGGCGGTGCAGCCTCTGAGGCGACAACCCTGTTAACAAGCCCAGGGGTGGGAGGCCTCCGCTGGGAAGGCCATGGCAGCAAACTCCAGGCTGCAACCTCCTGACGGCTGGGAGGCAGCGCCCACACCTCCTGCCAGCTCCGCCCCATGCCAAACGTACCGCCATCACCTCGTGTCACCTGCTTTCCGGGCCAGGAAATGCAACAACTTGAGCGCCAGCCACACCTCCAGCTTTCGCCCAACTTCATACAGCAGCTGTCCCAGCGGGAGGGTGCTCGCGGCCGGCCAGGACCCAGGGTGCTGGCCTCAGCTGATGGACATGCTGGCTCAGAACTGAGGCCTGGGATACTGGGGTCTCCAGCCGCAGGGAACCTTGTTCCGGCTCGGTGTCCACTTCCTCTTCTGCCCAGGCCACCCCTGTGCCCAACGCCAGGGAGCCCGGGGCGGTGAGTGTACCTGAGCTGCCACAGAGGGTTCTCGGGCTGCGCTGGCCCGGAGTCCGCAGCGCACGCCGCCTGTCCTGGAGACGGGGTCCTCTGTGCGGGGCATGGGGCGCTCCCCACGCGGGCCCAGCCCCTCCGCACCCGCTGTCCCTCCCCGCATCTGGCTGACCGCTCTGGAAAGGGGCCTCAGGTCTCCGCCAGGACCCGACAGGTGGGAAAGGCGGGGCTGGGGCGCCACCTGGTGGCCGCTCCCGCCCTGCGCCCGCCTGGGTCCCGCACTTGGGTGCCCACAGAGCTGGGGGCTCTGAGAGCGCGTCCCCTCCCCCGGAGAAGTCAGTAACGGCCGGACTCTCCTCAGGATGGTCTTGGGGCCTGATCTCTGGGACTGGCTCAGGTGCCCCAAGCCCCTCTTGGTGGCTGCAACACGACCCGCCGCTCGTTGAAATGGAAAGCATTTCCCTCCCACCCAGCACCAGCCTCCGCCTGGCCCCTGCCCTGAGCGGGCCGAGTGGACGACCTGTCCCGGAGTGGGGGCAGGATGACCGGCCAGCTCCCTCCCCCGCGTGTCTGGCATCGCTCGGGCTGTGTCCGCAGGTGCTCCCGGCCGGGGCCCCTCCACGAACCTGGTGAGCAGAAAGCACATCTGGACCTGACGTGAGCTCTGGGTGCAGGGCCTCAAAGGGGGCCCCTCTGGCCCCAGGCGGCCTGAGAACTGTGGGGAACATGGCTCCATGGAAGTTCCCCGCAGATGCGTCAGGGCACCGCCAGGAACGTCTGCTGTGGGGACACGGCCGCGCCACTGGGGACCACGGGGCAGGGAGGAGCAGGACCTTCCTGCGCCCTCAGGGTGCTCAGAGCACCCAGGCATCCACCTCAGGGGTCCTCCCTGCGTCAGCCCCTCAGCCGGGACCACCGTCTACTGCACTGGAGCCGCCCCCTGGGAGTGTGGGGGCCAAAAGCCAAGTTTGGGCTTGGCGGAAGTGAGAGAAGGCCGAGAGCTAAGGGGACGAGCGTGTGGGCCCGCATCCAGCTAGGGGCACCCACCAGGCGGGGGCAAAAGATCTGGGCCCCAGTGCCTGGACAGACTGGGAAAGCCTCTGCTGCGCCCGAAAGGAATGAGTTTCCGAAAGGAGCCATTTGCTCCAGCGAGACAAAGCACCTGAAGGCCACAGAAGTAGCCGTTTGAGTGAGAAATGAAAGATCATTATTAACTCAACGGGGCCACCCGCAGGGGCCGGTCGGGGAAGGAACGGCAGTGGGGGGGGGGCCCTCTCAGCACGCGCGGCGTGGAGGCAGGAAGGAGGCAGCCGGACAGGCGGCCTAGACGCTGCCCTGCGCTGGAGTCGTGTGTTTTGGGGTGAGAGCGAGGAGACGGCACAGGCGAGGACGGAAAAGAGCGGCTGGGAGGGACCAGGAGCCCCGAGCTCTGCCCCCAGCGCTGACCGGCTCCAGCCCCGTGACACGGGGCCTGTGACCGACGGGAGGCTGCTGGCGGGCGGACAGAGCTCGCCGAGCTGACAGGTGCCTTATTTCAAAGAGTCCGTTTGGGACACGTGAGAAATGAAGCATGCGGAACATGAAGGGCCGTGAAGACGTTAAGGTCAAGGGAAATGGCAAACCTGAGCAAGGCAAGGAGGCGGCGGAGTGGGCAGGAGAGGACGCCAGGGCAGGCTGCGCTCAGCCCCTCGGGGCAGGTGTGGAGACCAGGGACTCTTCTGAGCCTTGAGGACCAGCCCTGCACAGCCAGCGCCAGTGGGGTTCCAACGTGGGGACCAGGGTGGTGCGATGTCCCTTCCTACCCAGGAGCAGCTGGACCGGGTCCTGGACCGGCTCCTCGCATTTCTGCCCTCAAACGTGGCCTGGGAACATTCTGTCCCTCCAAAGGAAGTAAGGAGCCCTCGAGTTACGCATTTTGGAGGTGGAGGAGCTACAGCCGTCCAGACACCCAGGACACTCAGCAGCCATGGACCTCCTGGGATTTTGTTTGCTTCTCTCTTGTTTTTACATGGAAAAATGTCACCATTTTAATAAGGGAGATGCAGGTCAAGACCAAGGCAAGATCCCATCGTACACCAGTGAGAGCAGCACATATTAAAGAGACCCCCGAGGTGCTGAAGAGGAAGCAGGGGAAGAGTGAATTAAAGACTCGGTGTGAGGCCTGAAACCAGGAAACACACAGAAGGAAAGAGCCAAACACTCCGTGACTTTGGCTCCAGCCGTGTCTTTGGGGATTTCATTCCAACAGCAGGGGATACAAAAGCAAGAATCAATAAGAGGACGACAGCAAACCAAAAGGCTTCTGCACAGCAGAAGAAACCATCTCTGAAGCAAGAAGACGCCCGCTGAGCGGGAGAACGTGGTCTCCACATCACGCACCCAACAAGGGGCTGATGCCCAAGATCTACAAAGAGCTCACACCACTCAACAAGAAACGGAAGAACCCAATCAAAAAGGGGGCAGAAGAGCTAACGAGACACTTCTCCAAAGACACGCAGATGGCATGAGGCTCATGAAGAAATGCTCATCGTCACTTGTCATCGGGGAAATGCAAACCACAGCCCCAGAGACACTGCGTCTGCGCACATGGTCCCTGGAGTCCCTTTAGTGCTGAAAATAGAATGCACTTTTGTTCTCACTTACAGGAAAATTTAGTGGCTGAAGTTATGGCAACGCTGTGTGTGTGAGAGTGTGAGAGTGTGTGTGTGTGTGTGTGTGTGTGTACGTGTGTAATTGAGCATTTTCGTTAACTCAGAAGATTTAAGTATATTAACTCTTTAAACCATTAAATCACATCTAGTGCCCTGAAGCGGCGATTTACTAAATGGCATTCTAAGTACCGCAGAAAATTTCATGGAGCCTCAGAAAAATGACCGACGGCTCTGGACTGGAAACTGTCCTTAAGTCGTGTGGTATCGGCCCATATGGATGCCAAGATGGCAGCCGTCGGCGAGTGTCCCGCACAGCAGGAGCGCAGCCTGTTCTGATGGGGTCAGCTGAATGGTCCCCACCAAGCACACGTTTCTGACACGGGAAGTGACTGTCAGAGGAGACGGCTGTGAGAGCATGATTTGATGTTTTCCAGATCCACCTGCCATCAAAGACACAGAATTTCTCCACATGAACTACTCAAATAAAGGCCTATCTAATCTGATAAAATCTAATACATTGTTCAGCCCCAAATGATGCTTCATCCTTGAGTCGTGTCCTCTGTCTCCGCCCCAGGACCCATCCTGTCTCATGCCCTGAGACATCGTCCATCCTCTCGATACGCCAGAGATACTTCCTGCTGAACGAGCTGTGGCCCCTGCCTGCGGGTGCGAGGAGTGAGGCTCCGTCTCAGCCAGAGAGCGAGACACGGGCTCCAGGCTGGGGCAAGCTGCACCCGGTAGCCCTTTCTTGTCTCCACGTAGCTACCGAACGCCTGACACCAAAAGTCTGAGCAGACCAGGCCCAGCATGAGGAGGAGAGTAGCTCGCAGGTCCAGTGTGTGACGAGACCCAGGTCAGCCCCAGGGCGCTGACCTCCTTGGAATCCCACAACCTTCTGGAGACGAGCGGAAGCAAGGGCCGAGGACCAGAAGGCAGCGTATCTACCCCAGTGGCCCAGAGCTGAACGTGACCATGATGTGTCCAAGCCAATGTGAGGAGGCTTCGTCTAGGGAGCCTGGGGCAGGATGTGGTTCTCCACAGGGCCAGCCGCGGGGAGCCACTTCTCTCTCTGCCCTCACTGTCCAGCCGGCCCTGGAGCTCAGCTCAGGCTGCTGCTGTTACCTGTCTGCAAATACGAGCCTCAGAGAGAGAGTGCTAGAGAGGCCGCTTTTCTCTTTGTGCTCTCTGGGGTCTGGGAGAGCTGAGCCTTGGCTCCCTCGCAGGGCAAGTGCGAAGGGCCACGAGAGCTGAGGGGGGCTCCTCGCCGCTGTCGCTCCACTCCCCAGCATCCCGCTCGGTGGCTGGAGACCAAGTGAACATCCCTTTCCCTGGAAGAGATGACACGGGCCCCAGCGAGGTGGCCTCGTTATGGGTCATCGCAACTAACGGGGACCCCGGGGCTGTCTCTACGTCACTGTGCTGCTCCCCATCCAGCCCTAACTCCTTAAACTAAACTCCGACCCTGGACTAGCAGAAAGTCAGTAGGCGTCTTTAGCTTCATCAGTTCATACCCAGCCCCCTTGGCTCACAGGCCAAGAAAACACATTCTTTTGTGGGACAAGCCCCCTTGGCCCTCAAAATCTCTCTTCTCCGGCAGTAGCTGTGTTACTTTGTAATCCCATAGCGGCCCTCGTGTTGAAGATCCTAAAGGATAATGGGACTTTAATACTGAGATGCACTCCTTGGTGGCATTTATCCTTATTAGACTAAACAAGTATCTGCTGTCATCTGAGCACAAAAAAATGCAAATTAACGTTAAGGACTATATTTTGTTATGTTACCAAATGCCAAGTGTAGGAAAATAAATGGGGAACAGGAAAAGACTAACACACACAAAGGTAAAATGAGGATGGGCACTGCAGCATCATGATAGATAATAGAACTCGGGCATATTTTTTCCACAGTCAGGTTTCCACACAGACCTGAACTGTGTCCGGCACAGACTAGTCAAAACATTTTTCAGCCAACTGTCCACGGGGAGTGCCTAGGTAGAAATCTGTGTCTCCAGAATGACTCGTGTTTATAAGGGGCATTCATCGGGGCTTTTTGAGAAAAGCACAAACAATAAAATGTATATATATATATATATAAGATACATACACGCAGAGAAATTTAGGAAATTCACTCGTGTGATTGTGGATATTGACAAATACAAAATCCGTAGGGTGAGCTGGCAAGATGGACACCAGGAATGACCTGATACTGCAGCTCAAGTCCAACAGCCGTGTGAGGGAAGCCCTCTCTCCCTCTGGGGAGGTCAGTCGTCCCGCCTACTAAGGCCTTCAGCTGACTGCATGAGCCCCACCCACAGGATGGAAAACCATCTGTATTCGAAGTCTACTGCTTTCAATGTTAATGTCGTCCAATGGAATTGACTCAAG